ATATATATATAGATATACATAACGCTCGACACTCGATGGCCAAGACGAAAAATTCTCGCTACAGCATGAGAAAATATCAGAAATATATAATACAGAACACTCAACAATCGATGGACCAAACAAACAGAATCGCTATCGCTTAAAGAAATCTTATCCATTTGTTTTCTCACTCGCACTCGCATTCACGACCGAGAGACCTGAAGATAACGCACACTAGCTCACTCGTCTGTAAAGACCGACGTAGAGGCGTGGCTTGCCCCCTCTCTTACCTTTCACCTTCATTTTCTCGCTTATTTTTGCAAATACGAAGATACACCTTACAACATTTTTTATGTATTTTTCAATTCTCTAAAACTTTTGTTTGAAACTTTTTTCGATTAAATGCCTAGATTCTAAGATATGGCTTTTTTACCCTTTTTTACCCTTTTTCTCATTACCAGAAAATCTGATTGCAAAAAAATTAGCACCATTCGATTCAGCGTCGTCGAATTACCATTATATCAAATTTCGCCCGGCTAGCTAAATTTTCCAAGTTTTCCTCTTATTGACTGGACTAGTATTATACGTGATTCATACGATAGATAAATAATTATTTCTCTATGTAGAAACACACAAGGACCGAAAGTCGAAGGAAAAACGTTGTTACGTAAACGAAACTGTGTAAGTAGGAGGATCATTGAAGGTTTTACACATCGTGCCGTTACGCTTCGAACGCAGTGCAATTTAATCCGGCACCTCGTATTTAGCGCCAACGCGAGATTTCACGGAAAGCTCGCGCGTTTTTCAAAAGATATAGTGCCATGCGTCTTACATCACTATGATATCATCGTTCTTGGAATTTCTCTATATTTGGAATTCGTTGAAAAACACATTATCGGTTGTTACAAAGATTTATACATAAAAATACGAATTTCTTTCTTTTTGAAAATTCAAAGATAACTACATTTTTATTCTACTATTTGATTTCAACAAATATATGTATTTGATGAGTTTTAATTTCATTATATTTCATAAAAACATATTCAATATTTTGTAAAAATGATAACAATGAACGATTATAGAGACAAATTGTTGATTAAGCGGAAGTAATTTGTAATCGATGCAAGTAGTACATACAACAGGAGACAAGCGAGCATTTAAGTGAATTCGTTATAAATTATTTAAGTAAAATCCTAATCTAATCTGATCGTTAAGGTGAAGGAATGTAAAGTCGATGAAAACGTGCGGCGACCGAGACTAACGTGTTTAATAAGTTTATTATGATAACCTAAATAAAAGAAGACCGCTTTCTTCGATCTATTCTGCACTCGTGACCCACTATAAGCATAGAATGGATGGAGATGTTACGTTACGGTTCATAAACATATAATTACGCGTTACGAGTCTTAAGTATAACAGATCAACGCCCTGTGTATAGAAACAAGGGAGAGAGAGAAAGAGAGAGAGAGAGAGAAATTTGCATAGTCGATCATCTTATATGCAGGTTGAGATAAAAGTCGTTTTTCCTATAATAACTCCAAACAAATTTTAATAAGTGATTTACATATGGCGGAACACACAATCGAGGATTGGTCTTCAAATTCTGAAGTAATTATTCTACTCAACTTTTACAATTGATCTAAATATTGTCAGATCTGTACAAAAAAAAGTTTTCTCTCTGAGAAAAGCAACTTTTATCTAACTCTATATATGCATGGAGGATTTGTGAACAAAATTAGGCCGAGGACCGAACCAGAGATTTCTACTTTCCTAGTAATTGCTCTAACCTTTGAGCAATACTGGGCCCTCCAGTCAACTTCTTCACGAATGCTTACTTTATTTGAAATGGAGGTGCTCGATCCGACATGCATATATGCAGATAGATACTCACATATTCTTTCATCTACGTGTTATCTCGTTCGGCACATCAACTGATGTGTGTGACGCGTAATGTGAGCGTAAACAACTTTCGTAGTCGGCAACGGAAGTCGTAAATGTGAACGGCGCGATAATCGTTGAATTCTTAAATCGAACGAACGCTGCAGCTCCTCTCTTCCTTTTTTTCTCCCCCCCCCCTTTTCCAACAAATCGTGGTACGCTTTCCAAGAAGACGAGGAAAACTCTATCTCCTGATTAATTCCAACGAAGAAGGCCAAATTACGCGGTACTTTCTAAACTCACACGATTTATTAACGATATTATGGAAGAAAATTAAAAAAACATTCAATCGTGAGATCAACCCACACACATTCATTATTTCTTATCTTACTTGAGGGGGAGGGGTGGGGAAAGGAACAAAAAAAACAAAACAAAACAAAATGACAACGAAGGAAGAAGAGCGCGAAAATTGAAGAGACCGTCTAGGGGAACTATCACGCAAATGACTTTCGATTGACGTACGATTATTATCGAAAAGGGTTCATGAACTTTCACAATTAAATGAACGGGGAAGTGTGTTATTGCGTTAGGCATTTACCTGATTATTTGGTGCGTGCTGACACCTGCGGGAACATCGAGAAAACATTTACTCTTTGAACTTCCATTCTTGACGACACATAGGGCATAGATGACTGGTTTGCTGAGAATGCAGCCACTTCATGATGCAATGAATATGGAAACAATGCGAGCACTGGCCCCAAACTAAAAACACGAATTTTCGGTTAATCCTTTAATATTGAATTTTCAAATGTTTATGATAGAAATATAAGGGGTTCAGTGTTAATTAGATGACCAGGCCACGGGGACGCGTACCTAGCGATGACGACCGACCGACAAGTCGTTCCTTGGTTCCGTTTACATGAGCGCGCGCGTGTTAAATGCGCACGAAAAGCAAGGGGAGAGGACGCAAGCGATCCCTATTATTCGACACCGGCATTCCGATCGATATTACGACAAATTCAATGCGCAGATGCCAAAGCGGGAATTTACGAAAAAGGACCAACTAATTCCTTTCTTTCACCATATTCCGATCATTTGATCGTTTTAATTTTAGTCAACTTCATTCTCATCAAGGAAAAGTCAATTAAAATCCTTTTTATTCAAAGTTAATCACGACAACGATTTACCCACCAATGTCATATTTGGTACCAAAAGAAAACAATTATTAGAACAGGGAATGGGGGGAATATGCAAAAGATCAAGAATTTACACTCCATTATTTCGTGTACTTTTTGTCGAAAGTATGATTTTGTATAATTAATTATGTAAATATGTAATAAATGAATTATCAATACCTAAAGGACAGTCATCCCCTGGAATTTTGCAGTCAGGACAACTCGCATCGAAAGGCATCCGACAAATTCCGCAATTATCATCGTTCGCTATCCAACGCCAGGTGGCAACACCTGTCCAGCCTAAAACATCAACACCCCCATTACCCTCAAATACTTCTTAAAATATTGTTCTTTTACAAAGATTGACATATTTAATTATACTCACTTTTTATTGTGACTTTCATTTTGAAACGCTTTGAATTGTATTGGTGGATTATATTATAGATTTATTTAAATTATTAATTTAAAGGTTAGAGATCACACGATATCGTTCAATTTGCGTACGCAAATGACAGTTTTTGCTGGAAGGTATGCACGTTCATTTGCTACGCTTAACCCGTTATTTTCAAAATGTACATCAGAAAGAAAACGAAAATATTACAAAAATTATAATGAAATTAAACAACGTTCAAGGAATAATCCGTAAATATGGCCTATACCGAAACGAATAACAAGTGAAGTCTACGTTGTCTTGCAACGCCCTCAAGTCTAAGGAACTAAAGAGTGATTACTCCTTTTTCATTGAATTTTTTAACGGTAGATCAAATATTACTTTAATTACTTAGTTGTTATCGGCCGAAAAAACTAGAATGGTAAAACAATTGCATTTCAAAAGAAAAACGCTTGGAACTTTGAACATTTTTTCTTATAGTATTATAAATTTATTTATACGATATAAATTATTTGACTGAATAATCTTTACTTTTATTTATGACAACATACTTCGACAAATTCTAAATATAACAAATTGAAAATAGTTTGTATAAATTAGGTAAACATTTAATAATTATTTATTAACCTTACTTATGATCTTATACGTTGCACGATTTTCGTATAATTTCAAATTCATTTGTTTGGTAGTAAAGCAAAGTTTATTCTACTGAAGTGAACTTATGGATGTAAATTTCTATATAGAATAGAAAGTGAAATTTTTCATCCCTAACATTGGTTTAAGCTTATTCAAAGGAAAGGTCAATTTTAAATGGAACTTTACAACCTTGGAGCTTTTCAAATTTCCTCAAAGAATGAATGGACATAAAAAGTAAAGGAATGCAAATACTTGTAAAAGAACATGTGTTGAAGAGAACGAACAAAACATTTTTGAAAATTGCCTTCGGTGAACAAAAATTTACGCTTAGAGTATGTTTAAATTTACAATAATTCTGTTCCGTATGATTCATAGGTATGATAATATATTTATTTGTAAAGAAAGGTACTTTCTTTAATTGAATTTCCCGCGCTACAGTAGGTGGTAGTGGGCTGAACACTGACTTTTGGTATCATTCATCTGATCAAGAGAGATAGATAGAGAAAGAGATAGAAAATGATAGGCACGAGTGCGCATTTTACAAAATTATTGAGATAGAAAAATTGTCTACATTAAGAATGAAAAAACTGACGAAAGAAACTTTAATTGTCGTCTCTCTTATTACAGATAAGAATTGTAACTATTGGACAGATAATGTTAAAACATATAGTACATAAAATTTAATTCTCCTATTACAGAGAGCAACACATTTGTTTTTTTCTTGGAAAATCCTCAATAATATAAAAATCGTCTTACATATTTATAACCATCCAGCATTTACAATTTCATTAGTTTTATCATTAGAATAGACGAAATATTTTTATTACACGAAAATGTTACGTTTCCCCCACAGCCGAGCAAAGTTGTAAGGTGTCTAGTAAATCCCAAGTCTCTCTCCCCACTTCTGGGCCAGAAGAAAACAAACGATTCAACCAACCAGAGGGCGATCGGCTGTTTCCTCGTACCGAGCCAGTGGTCTCATCCGCGTGACCACGTCCTGGAGTGCAGGAGGTTTCTTGGTAGCCGCCATGTTGTCAGTGCTCAACTCGGACGCGAGTTTATCTTGGATGTGTTGCACCGGAGCCGGCATTTACGTGGCTATGGCTCGACAGAGTCTCCCTACTTGACTACTTTACCGAAGGGAATTCTCGGCTCTAATAACACGAGGGAAACCATACAAAAGGAATCGAAATTTCGAGCGAACAGTAAACGCAAGACTTCTCAAGCTTCGTGGTGCGGAACGTTCGACCGGTTAGTTCAGACAATACGATTTTTTTCTTCGAATAAAGTTTATTCTTTTGAAGCGACGAGAGAGAGAGAGAGAGAGAGACGAAGACATTCTTCTCAACGAGTTGATGCCCCCTTGAAAAAGATACGGCACTGTGCACTCTCTCACGGTAAAATGCGGCCCCGCATCTCGAGGGCCAGCCTGTGCACCGTTCAACGCGGCACTATCCATACACATAAGTTTCTCTGTGATCTTAGATAAAAAGAGCGCTGATACACTATATGGTAAACTTCATTTATCTTTTTCATTTATACTTTTATGATAAAAGAAAATATTACCGAAAGATTTTCATTCAGTGTCTGAAAGTGTAGCATTCGAAAAAGTATTAAAACTACCTGAAAAAGATAAAAAACGACGGCGAGTGATAGAGAGAGAGGGTGAGAGAGAGAGAAGGAGGAATCAGCGAGAGAATGCAGCATCGCGAAGGTCGAGTGAGTGACAGATGGCACGCGAAGGTAGTACCAGGAAATTGTAAGAGTTCGTGCTTGCGCACCAATGCAACGAGGAAGGCAGCTCTTTGAGTCGTCGTCGATGCTGCGTGTCACATTCGGAAGTTCAGCCGCGCCTTAAACGTTTACAATGACTGTGATATCACGAGAAAAATAAAATTAAACAAAAGAAACGATAAGAGAGGAATTAAGAACGTTGTTTGTGCGTAGTATGTGCGAATTCGACGCGAGCAGAAACGAAAGAAGAAGAAGAAGAAGACGAAGAAGGCGAAGAAGTAAACTCGAGAGGGCCTCCTCCTCTCGTGTAGGTTGTAGTAGGTCTGTAGACATACCGATTGAGTGAGTAAGAAAGATAGAGAAAGAGAAAGAGAGAGGCCAGTTCGTCTGACTGACCCAGATTTTCGCGGTTCGGACGAGACGAGGGAAAAGACAAGACAGCAGGAGAAGACGCGGACTATCTGAAATGGGCCACGACGCAGCCTGGAGCTAAATTAGCCGCGATGTCCAATAAGAGTAAGACTCAGCCGCAGCAGCAGCGTCCATCGCACGTGATCAAGCCAGTGGATCAGGTGCCACCGCGGTATCAACCGCCGCCGCAACCTACCAGCGGCATCCTGAAGAATCATCCACATTTCAGCAGTACCACCACAGTACCATCGCTACCACTAGCGACAGTCAACACGGTACTGCAAAACACACAAGGTCAGGGTACGGCCTCGACCTTGAATCATCATCATCATCATCATCACCATCAGCAACATCAGCAGACGACGCAACCACGTAACGCGTCTCAACAGAAGGATGCGCAAGGCAAATACTCGCCGAGGATAGAACACAGACATCATCCGCAAGGTGCTGCTGCTGCCAGTACTAATATCTTAACAAGTGGAGCCTCAACCACAGCTTCTACCAAAAGTCAGGCTTATCTTCAGACCAAGATCGGACAAGGACAATATCTCCCACCTAATAGTCAGTATCCTACCATCGTTAGCAGTAATAGTGCTAGCAGTCAACCTGTACCGAGCAGACAGAGGCTCACCGACGAGGAGTTCCTTAGACTCGGCCCCGTGGAGATGCTCAAGTTTGTGCGAAAGACAGAAAGTGACATCGCACGGCTAGCTGCCGAGCAGAATCGTCAAATACAGAGCTTGGTGAGGATTCGTGTTTTGGCGATATTTCTCTTTTCCACGTGGGTCAGTGCTACGCATGCTTTCTTAACCGGCTTTCCACGTATATACTGTTCTCCTCGAAGGTAGAAATAATTCACGTTTTAATCAGTCGATAGGAATATCTCTGGAATTATTAATAATATTCAACAATAATTATAAATCTTTTAAATGGACCACTCGGCGTATCCACAAATAAAAGAGATGTTTAAACATTTTCATTTTTATTTGCACACTTTCCGATATCATTGACAAATTGTCACGAAACTCAAAATAAAAGATATAATATTTTAATTGTGTCAAATTTTAAAATAATATTTATCTTTAAGCAAACAAATGCAAAGTTTGTAACTTCTTACCTCGAATCGTTATTTCGTTCTCAAAGAACCCAAGAATAAAAGTAGGACCCCGTACGCAATATACGGAAGTTTTTGAAAGGCTCTTCTAGGTCATACGCGGGTCGAACTCGCAATCGTAACTTCGACCGGTCACGCACACGTAAGGATCAACAAAAAAATAAAAACAGGCGGATTTTCTGTCCACTATACAAAAAGAAAATTATGTACGGTTGAAAAGCACGATAATCGAAAGAATGCGAATATTATCGATTAATACATGTTTTCTTGAATCGATAAACAAGTGGTAAAAAATGTCACGCGAAAATGGTATACGACTAAATGATTGACGAATATATTTACTTTAATTTTTTTTCAATTATTACATAAAATCAAATAAAAAATCAGATATATAAATAAATTATGATTAAATAATTGATTGAGAGAGATATATTTAATATTGTATTAAATGAAATATATGCAATATTGTAAGCAAATTGAAAATAAAATTCAATTTGTTTTTAGCTCAGTGAGCTTCGTGCGCTGAAGGAGGCCAACCAAAGACTCAGCGACGACAATCAGGAATTACGAGATCTGTGTTGTTTCCTGGACGATGACCGGCAAAAGGGCCGGAAGTTGGCAAGAGAATGGCAAAGATTTGGTAGGTACACAGCCAGCGTTATGCGACAGGAAGTATCAGCTTACCAGAATAAATTGCGGCAACTGGACAACAAGCAGCAGGAGTTGATAAAGGATAATCTCGAACTGAAAGAGCTCTGTCTGTATTTGGACGAGGAACGAGGGGGAGTTCAGAGGGACGACGGGGATGGATCGAGTTCGAGTACGAATGCGGAGGAAACCGCACCACCGAGGCCAAGACACACTTCTACATTTAACGGTAAATCCTCTCTTCGAGATTGGCGGTTATATTGATGATAGGAAGAAATTAGAAATTAAATCAAACGTCAAATGTATATATATATACTGACTTGAAATTGGATGAAAAGATTCAAATGATGAAGATTTACCTCGATTACAGACCAAACTATGCAATATGTGAGGAGTTTGGAACAACGCGTTAAGCAGCTGGAAGAAGACAAAAGTGTTTTACAGGCGAGAGCTCGAGGATGGGAAGCGGGTGAAGTCTGGGACAATCCTAACAGTCCGAGCAATAATTCTCATATCGGAAGTAGACCCGAGGCCGTCGTACGAGCTCTTCAAGTTCTCGAAGTTAGAGAACAGTTGGAAAGAGAAGGTGGACACGATGGCGAAAAAGCTCTAGTTCGAGAAATGTGTAATGTAAGTTATATTTTAACATTTATATTTTAAATCATATAATAATTACTATTCATTTTTTTCTTTCTTTCTCTAGGTTGTATGGCGTAAGTTAGAAGAAGGCCCACAAGCAAGGCATTAGAAAATCTTTTCAAAGTGCAAATTCGTCGATTACGATATT